ACTCCTAGCTGGCACTTACGTGGCTCTTAGAAGGTACCTGAGATGGAGAAGAAGAAGAATCCCCGGGGGGTTGCCCGGCGGGAACACTCTGATGCTTAAGTTCGTATTCTGTAGGAGAAGCAAGGAGAAGATGAAGGCTAAGAGTGCAGATAGCGTGTGAGTAGAAGATCATACCTCCATCCCTTGATACTAGCTCCTTATAACAGAAATCCGTTGTATCAGGTCCACTGGCCTCTAACAGGGCGGGTATAACCGCCACTGTCAGTCTGCCGCAGCCGTTACTGGCTGGGCTGAGGTGGCACGTGCGGGGTTGTCACCGCAGGGTACGTGCCTGTCAGGTGTAAGACACCCTCTAAAGGTGGTAGGCACGACGCTGTCTGACGAGGGATATGGCTGTTGTCCCCAGATTTGTCGAGTACGGTGGTCGGGCAGGAGACCTTCCTACAATATGCCGAACTACCCTTCCGTGAGTTACCCTGTCCCGGGCTATCTTGTAAGCAGCGAGCTGCCTGTGACAAGCTAAGCCGAGCTGTCTGGCCCAAGGTGTCTTCACCTCAAGGTATCTACAAGCAGATCAGTGTGTTCCTGTCTAGTAGAAGCTTCCTGAGGAGTGCCCATGCCGTCCATTCTCGAGCTACTTTGTAGCGAGCTCGAATTACTTCAGGATTACCTTTAATAGAATTGGTCCTTGGGATGACTTGTCTGCTTGGGAGCTTGGGCGAGCTAGTTCCCCTAGCTCGCGAGCTAAAATTGCCTCAGAGTATCCCATCAAAGGTAGCTCGGGGAACCTGGAGCTCGCGTTGTGGCGAGCTTCTCCTTTTGTGAGTTACGATGTAGCGAGCTGCTTTATGGGCTCGTCACTTGGTCGCATTAGGCTACAATGCTGAGTTGTTGCTCGTGCTGAGTCAGTGTCCACGCGTCACCGTTTCATAGGTCGGGTCAAATCATCCTCCATCAAAAAGGCCTATATGTGATGCCATCTCTATGTATACTTAACTAGCTATAGTATTGCTTTTAAAAGCAGTTTAATGTATCTGGTGTAATAGGTACAAGTAACATAGACCTACAGATTATATATACATCTATGTATATATATCTATATCTATATCTATCTATCTATCTATCTATCTATCTATATATATATACCAATACAAATACCACTAGTTGTGCTTGAATCCTATTTAATGAAAAATGAGACTTGAGACTTTGCTTTATAGACAATTATTCTCGAAACACTATTGACAGGGATGTATTTTATGATTGATTTAACACGCAACGGTCTGTAATTAAATAGAAAATTGATCATTAGGCTCAGTTTGGAAGGAATATAAATATAAATATATACAGTACAAATACATATATTTGTATTTATACTCCTTCGGAACTAAGCTTTAAAGTCAAAATACCTATGTGATGCCATCTATATGTATAGTTTACTGGCTAGAATATTGCTTACAAAAGCAGCTTAGGCATCTGCGTGGTAGATAGGAGTACCGGAGTTCACATAAGCTCTCCACAAGGGGGCATCCCAGCCGCGTATTGGGTGGAAGGTTGTGTTTGGTATTGTTGGTGTTTCAACTTGTAATGTTTTGAGTTGAAGCACTAATACAAATACCATTATTTATGCTTGAATTCTATTTAGGCTATGTTTCGTTTGAGGGAAAAAGTAGGGAAAGGTAATTTTCTTATCTTATTCTTCCTTTTCTTACTTTTTTCTTCAAATTAAACTAAACACAGTCTTAATGAAAAATGAGTTGTTATTCATGTCAACACCACATCATTAGTGCTGGTGTTGAGACAGTGATTTCCATGCAAAGTATTTTATGATTGATTTAATACACAACATCTCCAATTAAACAGAAAATTGACCATTAAAGAAATCAAATTACCTATGTAATGCCATCTCTATACATAACTGGCTAGAATACTTTTTACAAAAGATGAGATGGTGAGTGTTTCACGTAGAAGAACCTAATTATTAGTACTATCAATAGGTTGAGTCTAGGTCAGGACAGGGTGTAACCCAATGGATTCAACTATATTGACAGCTATAATTAATTATATAAGTAATTGATTTTTGATAATATAATCCTAATAAAAATGACAATAAAACAGTAAATTATGTATATATTAATAAATCTAGTGTTTTCAACTAAAATCATCTTATATATTATCTATTAATTTTTTTCATTTTAGACATAAAATATAAAAATATATAAGAAAAAAGGAAGAAATTTTTATATATTAATTATTAAGAAATAATTGATTAGGGTCTAAATTGTTTCAAAACAAGCAAGGAGCCAAGCACTAGGACAGGTGTTTCCTGTCAGATAAAACCAACCCATTGACAGGTGTTTCCTAGGCTCCCTACTAGGGGTGGTCATGGGCTAGGCTTAGTACCTATCATAAGAACTCAAGCTTGGATGTTGGCTTGAGCCCAACCTAGGATTCCGGGCTTATTAAATGTCAAATATATAAAAAAAATATATTATATAACAATAATAAATATATAAAACGTATTATATAAAATAGATACTTGTAATTGTTTTGGTGTATGTTATAAAATCTAAACCCAAATACCATATATCATATATGCTCAACACTATTATATATAAAACTATATACACGACTGGTTTCAGACTTGGCACAAAAACCTTCTATTCGATTAGTCTTTTGAGGCTTCCAGACTCCAAAACTATATACCGTTGGGTGAAAACCCAAATTCACTATTGGCCATCCAAAAGGATCTGTTTAAGCGGTCTGAAGTTTTAGTTGAACTACTTCCACAAACCATTAAAAGATGTTTTGAGGAAAGTGTCGTTTTTTTTCTGAAGGACAATAGATTTAGGGCCCGTTTGGCATGTCTTTTTGGGAAGATCTTCTGGTAGCTCTGACATGTAAAAGACGCATTGAGTTTTTGTATGAAGATCTGAATAGCCTAAAGCACGTTTGGTAGACACACGTCTTTCCGTATTTTTTCGCATGAGATTAAAATGCGAAAGACATGAGAAACTTCATTTGAAACTTCCCAAAATCAGCCCAAAATAAGCTTTTCGTGTCTTTTCGGTGCTCCGTCTTTTGACAGTTATATCTTCTATGAGTCAAAAGACCACACGGAAAGACACACCAAACAGACCCTTGGTCTTTCTGTGTTTTTTTATCAAACATTGATTATAAATTGTTTGGGTGGAGCGCCCCCTTCTTGCAATGCGAAAAGCCACTACTACAAAAATCCTCCCAAACCAACTCAACCAAAGCTTTAGTTTTCGCAAAAGGATCTACTGGATTAGTGGATCTACACCACAAGATGCTACCCACACACCTAAAATAGCTTCTTCTACAAAGCGAGAAAATGGAAATATAAAAATAAACAAATAAACGCCAAAGTTTTAGCTAGAAACCATCGTCATTGAAGAAGGCAGGCTTGTCAAGATAAGGCAAAAGAGAACTAGGACTCAATTTTGTGTTAAAAGGGGCATTTTTCATCATTTCAAAAACTAAATAGGAACATTTTAGACATTTCTAACCTCTGAAAAGTGTCTCACCACAATCAATAACTTAGCAACATTTTACCATTTTAGAAGAGGTAAAAGGCTTAAACATACCCTGAATTTTAATAAATTAACTTAAACATGTCCTAATTATTTTTAAATAGAATTAAATATACCTTATGAGTTGACACCACTAGACTTTAAATACCTCCATCAATGAAACAACTCATTTAAATTTTTAAAATCCTATTTTACCCTTCTAAGTAGTAAAGGGAAAATAAAGAGAAGTGAGGCCAAAGAAAAGGTATTGCAGTGGCCTTTTTCTATGCAAAAGATAAGGTATTGTATCTTTACAAAAGAAAGTGTGAAGGCCCAATGAAGTCATGGATAAGACAAGGTTTAGTTAGAGGGATTGGGTTCGGGCTTCCCTTTTCCTTGTTGTTCTATGTTTATTCAATCAGTTTCTATCCTCAACTGTTGATACACGAAGGGGAGAGAAAATGAGAGAAAGAAAGAAAGAGATGATTGAATTAATTTGGGGCAAGATTTGGAGATTGGGAATATGCATGACAGCTTAAGGTTAATGTCTAGAATTCACATCACCACCCCACAACACCCCACAGCACATCCCCGCTGTGTATTGGTAACATCTCCCGATGATGATATCATCGACTCTGGTACTATCATTGGGAGATGCTCCTAATACACGGCGGGGATGTGCTGTGGGGCGGAGATGTGATCTCTAATGTCTAACATCAAAGGAGGGAAATGGCTACAAAGTTGGCCATGAAAGTGGCTGCAATCTTTGGAGATAGAAGTGGTAATGAAGATGGTTTTGAGTTCTGACTAAAAACTAAGCAACTCCATTGCTCAACCTGGTATCTCAAACCCAACTCATCGATCTAGTTCAGTTTTGACCTAAAAACAACAATTTGGGTGGAAGGGCAGTGGTGAGGTATTATATGGAGACCAATCTTGTTGGTCTCAATGGTCCATAAGGCAAAACAATAATCAATGTTGAGACCAATCCATTGGCTTCACATGAGGTAGGTAGAAGCACTTACCACTAGAAGGCAAATAAAAAATCTAGGTTAAATCACGGGAAGAGGAAAGGAAGAAGAGAAGTATATATAGGGTAAAATTTTAAAGAAAATGAAGAATAAAAGAGTCGCAGGATACTTTTATGTTTTTTATTAACTCGAGTAGGTTTAAGTCAATGTAAGAAAATTCAGAATATATTTAAGTCTTTTACCGTTTTAGAAATTCAGATCACATGTTCAACACAAATTCAAGCGCTTCCCATCTCTAAAAAAGTTCGTATTCCAGAGATGAGAGATAAGAAGCATTTTTTAGCTATCTTCAAAGAAAAAAAAATCACTTTTAGCTATCAAACACCACCTTGTCTGTACATATGGATATAGTCCGATCCCTTCACTGAACTGATCATTATTGCGGTCAGTATCTACGTCTTATGTACACCACAAATTGAATTCAAATGTAGCATCTATGGAAAAATCTTTCAAAAAAAAGAAGTGCAGCAGATCCAGATTCATCTATCTGCAGTCTGCTTTATTCACTGCATTAAATCCAGACTGGTGCAGTTGCAGTGGAGACAGCCTCAAAAGTCTAAAACTAACTGAGTCATATTCTTCCTTCTTTCCCATATGATAGTCTCCATAAAAACCAACCATTGTATTGTACTTATCGAATCCATACTGTGAACCTTGTTAAAACTCATGGTTTGGACAAGGCGACTGTTGAGTTATTCAATTTACATCGCTTAATGTGTAGCTGAACAGGAAAAAAAATGGTGTTTAACGGATTTGCTGCATCCATATCTGGGTACTTCTTGTTAGCCATTCTGTCTGTGTTCTTCCTGATGAGATGGGTCTTGTTCTTCAAGCAGAAATTGAAGAACCAAATCATAGCAGAATGGCCTTTCCTGGGCTCCCTACCGACGGTTGCCTGGAACATGAACAGGCTCCATGACTGGATAACTGAGATTTTCATCTCGCTTGGCATCAAAACCTTCTACCTGAAGGGCCTCTTCTCAAAGCTCGACTACGTGTTCAGTTGCGATCCTCAGAATTTCGAGTACATCCTCAAGGTAAATTCTGGAAACTACCCAAAGGGGGAGGACATGAGGCAGATATTCGACATTCTGGGTGATGGTATCTTCAACACAGATTTCGAGTCATGGGCAACGCAGAGGAGGGCTTCACACTCGGCTTTCAGACTGATTGAGTTTCGGAGCTTCGTCAGCTATACGGTCCAGAAGGTAATCGAAGAAAAGCTTCTACCATTGTTAGCTCATGTGGCTAGAGAAGGGTCTGTCATCGATTTGCAGGATGTGCTTCTGAGGTTCACCTTTGACACCATTGCCATGACAACATGCGGAAAGGATCCGGGGTTTCTGGCTAAAGAGCTTCCTGGTAATGTAGTTGCTAAAGCCATTGATGACGCACAAGAAGCCATACTCTACAGAAACTTCGTCCCCATGTTGATTTGGAAGCTTATGCGGCTGTTGAATGTTGGATCAGAGAAGAAGATGGCCAAAGCGTGGGAAGTTGCAGATAACACCATTATAGACATCATTCTGCAGAAGAAGGAGCAATTGCTTAATGGTACTGATGAATCAGAGAAGATTAATAGTCTATTATCTATCTTCATCAGGTCTCAAGGACAGAAAAACGAATATTGGTCCAAATCCAGGATGAAGTTCCTTAGAGACTTGAGTCTAAACTTTATTATTGCTGGAAGAGATACTACAGCCTCTGGTCTTCTCTGGTTCTTCTGGTTGGTTTGTAGGAATCCCCATGTGGAGGAAAAAATCCTGGAAGAATTAAAGCTTGCTTTCGCTAAGAAGAAGGGTAATGGAATAGGAAGCAATAAGCCATGGGTATTTGATTCAGAGGATTTAAAAGAGTTTGTGTATCTGCATGCAGCAATTTGTGAATCACTCAGGCTGTATCCTCCCGTTGCTACACAGAAAAAAGGTCCTATCAGGGAAGATATTCTCCCTGATGGCACCACTGTGAAGCCAGGGATGCAGATAGTGCTCTCAAATTATGCTCTAGCAAGGATGCCTTCTGTGTGGGGGAAAGACTGTCTGGAATTCAAGCCTGAGAGATGGTTACGTGAGGATGGGACGACACTGAACAATGAAATGATCTCCAAGCTGCTATTTGCATTCGGCACTGGACCAAGAACTTGCCTGGGTAAGGACATGGCTTTCACTCAGATGAAGATGGCTGCTGCAGCTGTTCTCTTCAACTACAGCATTCAAGTTGTGGAGGGTCACCCAGTTTCCTTGAAACGATCCATTATTCTTCAGATGAAGGATGGGTTGATGGTCAATGTAAAAGAAAGAGGCAGTTGGTAATGGTGTCAATAAATCAGGTAATTTTATCATAACTACTTATATAAAATAAAATAAAATTCACTGGGTAGAGTCTAGTGGTCCTCATTAACTTATTTTCCATAAAGAAAAAAAATATATATAGTATAAAATATCCAAATGGAGATTAATTTAGAAAACTCTAGGGTGTTTTTTTTCACTTCTATGGTTGCTTGTAATGCGGTATCCTCTTTTTTTTTCTAAAATCTCTTCTACTACTAATTATTGTTCTTCAGATGAAGGATGGGTTGGTGGTCAATGTAAAAGAAAGAGACAGTTGGTTCCAATAAATCAGGGTTTAATTTTTGGTAGTTTTATCATAAGTAGTTATATAAACAAACTCATTAGCAAGGGCCTAGTAGTCCTCCTGTAAATTCCTAAAAATCAATTAAAATATTCAAATGAAGGTTGGAAAACCCTAGTTTGCTTTTTTTTTTTCACTTTGTTGCTTGTAATGCTGGATGATATTCTTCAATTACATGTATTAATTAATTTAATTTGTTGTGGAAAATAGGGGTAAAACCGGTTAAACAATACTTAACAACAGTACGTATATCAAATTGAAAAAATCTGCAAAATCACATACAAAAAAAAAAAAAAAATCCCCAAAAGACTTACTGATGACATGATACTGAAGCAAAGCTAGCAACACAGATCAATTCAGCATTTTTATAATCTGAAATGAAAAATTAATTACCAAAAGACTTACTGGTTTTGATCAAGGCACGTCGTAGCAATGCTGTACCGGACACGGTGTGACGGGTGTGTGTGGGAGCCCGGCCCAGCTTAGCTCGATCGATCCATGCATGTGTATCTGTTGGCACATGTAACCTCTCACTACCATCCCACAGACACAAACCCACACCTTGTAATTTAGCCACCTAATGTAAATTTTTCTTCTTCTTCTCGAGTTTACATTTTTAATGAGTTATTTCAATTTTTAACTATTGTTTTATCTGTAGCTAAAGGTCATTTATTTTGTAGTGTTTCTTTATCAATTTGATTTTCTTCCACTTTTAGGTTAAACATATTTCCGCAATGAAAACTCTCCCCAGCGCCAAATGCATCCTTCTAAGCAAACATCCCAGCAGTAACACAACCATTAACCAGGACTTTACAAAGCCAGAAAACTCGTATTTTAGGTTGATGCAATGTTGTAAGACTCAAACTGCATGGATTAAAAACTGGAATGCTCTGCGGGTCATAGTTTTTCTGGTTAATCAAGCAATTGGCATGTTTAGTAATCGTAAAAAAACACCATTTAACAGGGATGGTCACAATTCCCAGTTTTCATGGTCCAACCATCTAGTCCGGTTTGAGTCTTACAACATTGGGAGACGTTAGGCCTTTTATGGTGTTGGTTATTAGGGGTGTTCATTATATGGTCTAGACTGCCAAATCGCACCAAACCAAACCATAATTGGTGGTTTGGTCTGATTTGGCCTTAAAACGATTTGGTTTAATCTGAGAATTCCTCTAACCATTTTTTTTTTTTTTTKTTTTGGTTTGGTTTTCTAAATTTTAGAAGCCAACCCAAACCGCAAACCATATTAAATTGAATTATTAATAATATATTTATTAATATATATATATATATATATGTTTAAACCATATTAAATTGGATTTTAATTTTTAACTTGTAATTGATGCCCAAAGAGCTGTTTATGTTTGAGAAAATGTGAATGTAATTTATATAATAGTAATAAGTGACACTTGTTAATATTTCAATTTGGCATTTGAATTCTATTTGTTATTTATGTAGCTAACTAGCTATTCATGTTATTTGGGCTTTCTAATTGGATTAAGCCCAATAAGATGGCCCATATCATATTAGAAATCAGACCAAACTATGATAAAACGGTTTGGTCTGATTGGTCTGAGAAATTTCTCAAACCATAATTTATTAATTTGGTCTGCCATCTTCTCCAAAGCAAACCATGATCACCCCTACTGGCTACATATCCTTATGGGAATTAACTTCAGCTGTCCATATCTGACAGCACAAACTGTTATTACATGGAGTTAGGATACATCGACATGTCATGCAAGGAGAGGCCGTGGACAACACAGGCTGTCAGTCAAATGTAGACAGCCAAATGTTTTACCTATCTAGCCATTTAGGCTGTGTTTGGTTTGAAAAAAATGGAAGGAAAACAAATTGAAGTGAAAGTTAATTGACTTTCAATTCCTTTCCATTCCCTTTCTTTCAAATCAAACACAGCCTTTCTTTTGTCTTTTAAAAACTAAGTATTTAGAGCTTGCAAGTTCTGTAGTAGCTGAACCTGAGGTTGGATTACTTCCCGTACTCTTGAATGATTTAGGACATGTTTGGGAGTGCTTAAGTTAAAAATAAGGGTTTAAAAACAAGTGTTTAAGTTAAAAATAAGGGCTTAAAAGCAAGTGCTTATTCAAATAAGCACTTATTTGCATTTGACACCCAACTTTTTTAAATGTTTATTTTTAAAATAATCACTTATTTTATATTGGGCGTTTGGTAATCTTTTTCTCTAATAAGCACTTAAATAAGCATTTGTGACTATTATTTCGTTCATTTTCTTTCAAATTTTCAAAATATACCATTTGAAAGCACTTTTATTAAATTACTTTTATAAAAACACTTTTTTTATGAAAATACTTTTATAAAAACACTTTATGAAAGTACTTTTACAAAAGCACTTTTAAGAAAGTGCCTTTACGAAAGCACTTTTGTGAAATTACTTTTAAGAAAGCACATTTACAAAAACACTTTTATGAAAACACTTTTATACAAGTACTTTTACAAAAAGTACTTTCATAAAAATTCTTTCGTAAAAGTTCTTTTGTAAAATTACTTTCATACAAGTGCTTTCGTAAAAGTACTTTTATGAAAGTGCTTTTACAAAGGACTTTCATAAAAAGTACTTTATAAAATTCAACTAGGGATGATATTATAAGTGGTATTTTAAAATTAAACTAGGGATAATTTTGGAAGAAAAAAAAATTGAACAAGTGCTTATTGTAAAAAAACTGGAAATTTGGGCTTAAAAAATAAGCACATATTTCAGACTTATTTCTCAAATACCAATAAGTGTTTAATGGCCCAAATAAGTACTTATTTTGAATAAGCACTTATTTTTAAGCATTCCCAAATTATTTTGATATTCTATCTACTAAAGACAAAGCAGTAAGCTATTAAGTTCAGCTACTTCAGCTGATATTAAATAGCATCCTAATAATAGTTTCTACAACAAAGATAGAGTTAACATATATGAATTCATTCCTAACCATCTTTATTAATCACTGCGTTTCTGAAATTGTTTTTGTATTTCTGTCCATCATTTTCCTTTTCATGTTACATAAGGGTTCTTCTTCAATGTGAATTAATTAATTCTTAAAACAAAAAACACAGAAAACATGTTATTGGTTGTACTCATGTAAACAAAATTCAATATATTTGTTTTCGAACTTCTGGTCTATATATATCATGATCATATATTATTTGAACTCCAAAATTAATTTTTATTTAATTAAAAACCATTGGTTTGATAGTTTCAAAAATATAATTTTTTAAACAAATCCAATCTGTTCCTCGAAATAAAAACAGAGTTCAATAACATTATTTTAGCCGATGTGAAAATTTTAAAAACAAATGAAAACAAAATCATTCATGTTTAAACACTTCCATATATATATTTTATCCTTTTTTTTCCGCTTAAAATTTCTTTTACTCGTACCATTTTTTTTCTGAGGCCTAATTGTGGTCCAATAATGGGCCTAGCTTTTTCCTCCACCATGTGAATGAGTACTATCAAAGTATCCTCTTGGAAAAGATGTGAGATAGATATTATTAGGTTCTTTATATGTCCCTCCTCTTTGAATTTTAATGTCCCTCCTCCTTGTTTTAGGGGTAACCCATTTGAACATTTTACACTGCATAGGGCCCAGGCTACATTGTCTGAACCCAAGCCCGCCCAAGTTGCACCCTTACTTTGAAATTGAACCATTTAAAACAATAATTTGTGTTTAAAGTACAGTACTAAATGTGTAAAAATAATTTATTTTTTCAATATTTAAATGGATTTTGTTTAATACTTTTCAACTCCTGCTCATAATTCCTATATGTGATTTTTAAAACATTGATGGAAAATTAGAAATTGACTGGAAATCAAACAAAAGTGCATTATGTGGATATGAACCATGTAAGTAAATACTAACAAGGTCAAATTCTGGTGATAGTTACGAATTTTTACATTGTTTTTCAAGATCACAGTGAGCCCCCCAGATACAACTTTTGACAAATAGTCCATGAACCTGCCCAAGCATTGGTGAGAACCTTTTGAAGCCATGAGGCATGGTTTATTGGTACCAGTAACAATCTTTTTTTGTTTTTTTCTTTGGTACATGTGATGTGGCTTTGGGCCCTATGGGTTTTAATGCTAGACCCAATTTGCAGGGTTAGTGGGTTAGTTGTGACAGGGATGCACGCTTGGGCCCATTGGAATTCATTACACAAAGAGTATGCTCAGATAGAGGGGTGTCAAGAAACCAACAGAACTCTTGGGTCATTGGTGTACCACTAACAATTTACAATTTTATTGATAGTACCAGCTTACAAGGCCCATTCAAGTTGAGATCTCATTTGGGTCACAGGACAATATGGGGACCCATAATAAAATGCAAATATGTTTGTATTTGCAATAAATTCAAAGCATCACATCAATTAATTTTTTTTTTATTTCATTTTATTGGGGGTTGAATGTGACATGGTAGCTGGAAATTTTTTCTCATGCAATTTGTTTAATAAGAGTTAAGAATAATAGAATATGAGACTAAAGTGGTGTTTGATAAATCTGAAAAGTTAAAAAGATATTATTTGTGTCTGAAATTTGAAAAGAATTATAGATGCTTTTCTACTTTTTAGAGGCTTTGAATAGATAAATTTGTTTGTGTTGGACCAAACCTTCAACATCTGAAATTCCCTGATTTTACTATTTTACCCCTAGAACAAACTATTTATTAAATTTTAGTTTAATTTGCATTATCTCATAAAAATAATTTATCAAATTCAAAATAATATTGAAATAATAAAAAAAATTAATAATTAATAAATAATACAAACAAAAATTATTAAAAATAATTAACACTTAATAAAACATTAATAACTAATAAAAGAATATTTCCTTATCCGAAAAATCATCGTCATCATCGAGATCTTCGAGGTCCTCCTCTCACTCCTCGCGGAGATTCCTCATGTTCTTCTTGAAACCCTTTGGTTGGTAGTGAATAATCCATCAAAGGACAACGAGCAAGGGCTTTCTCCTTTGTCAGGAGCATCTCT